AATAGCTAATATTGAGATTTTGTTTTTCCAGTTTGGCAAATTCCTCTTCAAAACGTACAATACCCCATATACTAGCAACATGGAAGTGGAAGGAAGTAGATCACTTCTCGTCTTATTTGCTGTGTGACATTGAATATTTAAACCTTCAGACAATTAAAGAGGCTTTTAAATGTATTTTGTACCCTTTATTGCAATGTTCCTTGTTAATTCATTTCAGTGTTTTCAACAATCCAACTTTAATGAAACATTATGATTAAGATAAGTACTGTACATTTCCTGCTAACACGTGCATGACACATTCTTTGTTTTCCTATAACAAACATGTTTATTAATCTCATAGCAGAAAATCCCATCATGTGAATCAGCAGCCTTGCTTGCTAATGTTTATCTACCGTGTTCCATGACTGATTTTGTTTACCAAGGCAGGCATTGGTGGAAATGAGATCGTAACAAAGTTCTGGCATTGGTCTTACTTTGATGTGATACAATTTTTTTTTCTAAAATTGCTAGATTATTCCTGCTAGAAATAATACTGTCATTGCCAGTATTGCTACAAAGTTATACAGAGAATTGTTGTGAATTTAAAGCAATATATATATTTATATTATTTACGTTAATATAATAGAAACCTCTTGAGGACGGAGGCAATTGTACAAGTTCTGATTAAAACAAAATCTGGAATTTGATTATATATGTCTGTTCAACCATAATTTACCTCTTTTATATTAAGTGGACCCAAACTTATTATATGTCATTTTGTTCAGGGGGAAAAGGGCTTTCATATCACATCAAATATTTATATATGAAACATAATTTAATATGAATAAAATCTAAAAAAGTGTGAGCAGTTAAGACATTTTTTATATTTTAAGTTATGCATTGCATTTTAACTGTGAATGCCATAATACTGTTAGCACTTACTACAACAAAGTACACATATTTATATTCAGTGATGTCTCACGAGTACAACAGTACTCCCATGTACAGGTTTTATGGTATATCGGAAAGTTACAGTGTCAAAGATAGCACATTACATTTTTCAGTTTATACACACTTAAATTTGCTGGATAGGTTATGTTGCCTTTGAGACCGTATTGAATCCCAGGAATGAGAATTACCCCTATGATGGCATACCACTTGCAAAAGTAGACAACCCAAGGTATTGCAAATAGGCATTGCACATTCACTGATAATATCATCATGATACAGTTTAATGTTTTAACAAATATTTGTGTTCAGCAAAGTCTTCCGAGTATAACAGTACCCCCCATGTACAGGTTTTATGGAGTTTTGGAAAGTCACAAGGCCAATATAGGGCTTGCCCATTTCAGTTTGCCAGATTGTTTTGCCATCGTTTCCTATGTTGCATTTGAGACCATACGGCAGTCCAGGAATGAGAATTATCCCTATCATGGCATACCATTTGCAAAAATATACAACCCATATGTAGCAGCCACTTAGTCACAAACACTGGCCTAAGTTAGCATTCATATTTATTTGTGTGTAAAATATAATGACTATGATGACCCCTGTGTATGTAGGGCTACCTGTGACCTTTTGTGACAGATACACAGACAACCAGTTGCATACACTGACACACATACAGATAAACAGACAAACATATGGACATACATGCAGATACACAAAATATAACATATACAGATATATACAGAGACACAGACACACACTAACACACGTAGAGATACAGAAGCACATGCAGGCAAAAAGACACATACAGGCACAGATGCACATACAGATACACATACAGACACATAGATACACATACAGACACACACACACATGTATACATAAATACACAGACATACAGATACACATATACATACACACATATAGTCACACACAGATATAGACATACACACAGATATAGACATACAGACACACATACAGAAACACAGATACACATATATACTAATACACATAAAGAAACACAGATACACACATACAGATTCACATAAAGAAACACAGATACACACATACAGATACAAATACAGACACACAGATACAAACATACAAATACACATACAGACACACACAGATACACACATACAGACACGCAAACATAGACATACAGACATGCACGCACACATACAGACATACAGATACACACATACAGACAAAGATATACAGACACAAACATACAGACACACAGATATACAGACATACAGACACACACAGATATACAGACATAAAGATAGACATACAGATACACACAAACAGATACACACATACAGACAAAGAAATATACAGACACAAACATAAAGACACACAGATACACAGGCATACAGACACAAATATAGACATACAGATATAAAGACACACAAACACATACAGACAGACATAAAAATACGCATACATACAGACATAAAGATACACATACAGACACACAGATGCACACACACAGATATACAGACATAAAGATAGACATACAGATACACACAAACAGATACACACATACAGACAAAGAAATATACAGACACAAACATAAAGACACACAGATACACAGGCATACAGACACAAATATAGACATACAGATATAAAGACACACAAACACATACAGACAGACATAAAAATACGCATACATACAGACATAAAGATACACATACAGACACACAGATGCACACACACAGATATACAGACATAAAGATAGACATACAGATACACACAAACAGATACACACATACAGACAAAGAAATATACAGACACAAACATAAAGACACACAGATACACAGGCATACAGACACAAATATAGACATACAGATATAAAGACACACAAACACATACAGACAGACATAAAGATACGCATACATACAGACATAAAGATACACATACAGACACACAGATGCACACATACAGATATACAGTGTGACGGACCGCCTGGCACCACGACCAGGTACCTCCGTTAATCGCTGGTTCCTAGTACTTGCAAGCACCAAAGCTCTGCACTGGAACACCATAACCATGGTTCCTCAGTTCCTCAGCTAGCAAAGCATTGTATAAGTTGTATCTCATCTACCTTTTGTCCAACCTTGTGCTACAGGGGGCGGAAAAAAAGAACCCAAACCCCGCCAAAAAAATCTCTACATTAGTTGTGTCACTAACATTATTTATGGCAGCAACAACAAAATTAACATTTATGGCGAGCTTTAGAAATATTGCTAAATACCTCCTTCTAGGTCATAACAGATATAGAGCAGAGAATGTCAAACTGGTTATAATAGGCGTGTGCATGGGGTGTGCCGGGTGTGCCTGGACACACCCTAATCCCCGTGGCACGCGCCATCTGTCTCCCTCCGTGGGCCGGTGAGGGAGATCAAAGATCAAAGATCTCCCCCACAGACCCACAGCAGCATGGAGGGAGGCAGGAGAGGACCTGGGGAGCTCTCGCCAGCAGCTCCGCCGGGTTCCTCTCGCGAGGTCGAATGTCAAACTGGTTATCAAAGGTTATCGCGAGAGTGAACTCTAGCCCTCTGCGGGGCTAGAGTTCACTCACCACTGGACCACCAGGGATGGCAGGAGCACGGTCCCCCCTCCCTACATAAGGTAAGAAGGGAGGGGGGATATTAACTAAACGGCCCCCCCACCCCCACACAATACACACAAACAACACACACATCACCCTTAAACACACAGCACACACACACTAACATCACCCTCACATCACCCTCACACTAACAGCGCCCTTACACACACAGCACACACTAACAGCGCCTTTACACACACAGCACACACTAACAGCACCCTTACACACACAGCACCCTTACACACACAGCACACACTAACAGCACCCTTACACACACAGCACCCACACACTAACAGCACCCTCACACACACAGCACCCTTACACATACACACACAGCACACACTAACAGCACCCTTATACACACAGCACACACTAGCAGCACCCTTACACACACACAGCACCCTTACATATACACACACATACACTAACATCACCCACACACAAACAGCACCCTTACACACACACAGCGCCTACAAACACACACAGCGCCTACACACACACACACACACAGCAGTATATGTGTGTGTGTGTGTGTGTATTTAGATGTATGTGTTTTATATATATATATATATATATATATATACGCGGCGTGTGTGTTTGTGCTTTAGGGTGCACACCCTTATACACAATAGGCTGCGCACGCCTATGCTGGTTATTGAAATACACTGACAAGTATGACAATTATTTGCTCTTTAATCTATTCTCGTACAATCGTTCTAGATCTAATCCCATCTGTCTATTTAGATGAGAATGAATTATATTTAACCATTAAAGTTACTTCTATGGCTACTATCAATGACAGTTTATGGTTACACTTGATGGCTTGGCTTGTGTTTAGAGCTTTGCTTGGTTTCTATTGTACTTGATTTTCTGGGAAACACCTTGTAAAAGTTTTATGCAATATGAAAACTTGAATTCAAACACAAACAAAGCAACCGACAAACCATGACAAAGGCATATTGTTTAGTAAATGTACCTGTGTCATTTATTTATATTGAGATTACTCTTGTTGAGAAAATTGATCTCCCTCTCCACGTGGTTATTTGTTAAAGTGTAGATCGTTGAGAATCCAAAGTGAATTTGAGATTGGACTATTTTAAAGGCCAAAATAAACAATATTTTCAGTTTAGTTATTTGGTTTAAAAAAACCAAAAAACCTCCTGACAATTCACACTTTAGTAACTAATCCAATAAAATAAATGTGAAGTCTCTGTTAGTTGCTGGTGTCACATGTGCAATATTTGGAGATAGCTAGTTTACCTATTTTTAAAATGCCTAATTCAGTAGAAATGTGGATCAATCAGTTTTTTTTCACCCTTTTGCCATTACAC